TGAGGGTGAGCCGCAACCCCCACACGAACAGCCAGTACTCGAACCTGGTGAGCATCGTCAACGGGGAGACGCTGCAGCTGCACTGCGCTCCTCCGGGCGGCCGGCGAGGGCGTCTCTCCTGGACGCTCCCCAGCGGCATGGTTCTAGAGAGCCCTGAAGCCCGGGGCCGCGTCTCCCTCTTGGACAACGGCACCCTGGTCGTGCGTGACGCCTCGGTGTTTGACAGGGGCACCTACGTGTGCAGGGTGCACACCGAATACGGCCCGGCCGTCGTGAGCATCCCGGTCATTGTCATCGCCTACCCTCCGCGGATCACCAGCGAGCCCACCCCGGTCATCTACACCCGGCCCGGGAACACCGTGAAGATCAACTGCGTGGCCATGGGCATCCCCAAGGCTGAGGTCACCTGGGAGCTGCCCGACAGGTCGCAGCTGACCGCGGGCACGCAGGCTCGCCTCTATGGAAACCGATTTCTGCACCCCCAGGGGTCCTTAACCATCCAGCATGCCTCGCACAGGGACGCCGGCTTCTATAAATGCACTGCCCAAAACATCCTGGGCTCCGACTCTAAAACCACCTATGTCCACGTCTTCTGAGGCACCGACCGCACACCGGGGAGCCAGAGGAGGTGCTGTGCGAGAAAGAGCCAGGAGGCATTTGTAAGAAAACCGGGTCTGGGCAGCTCCGAGAGAGTTTGTCTTGGGGCACGGGGGCCCCTGTGGGTTTCAGATGGAGGCTCCCTTGACCCGGGCTTGTTGGCAAGAGGAAGGCACGCAGACAAGGGGCGGACAACCCAGCGTCTCTGGGAGCTGGCTTCCATGTTTCCCACAGGCCAGGGACCCACCTCGGCTCCATCCGACTCACGGGGCCTTTGCGAAGACTGCTGCACTGCCCGTGTGAGCTCTCCTAGCAAGCCTCAGCCCACGGAGGGGATGGCCACGCCGTGCCACCTCTCTGGAGTCACACGCCCTAGTGAACCTGCTGCTCTTGCGCCATGACAGAACATTCTAGAAGAAGGACTCCTCTCACTTGTTGATATGTCCCTTGTCACTGCAAAATGCCACTTTGCCCACTCGGGGTTTAGAACCAGAGTGTGCAATGATTTTTTTTTTTTTAATACTCTTGTTTCACACATGGCAATGACCATTTTACATGAAAAAGGAAACTATTTTTCTCTGGTGCTCACTTTTTATATAGTGTTTTATATATATATATATATATATTTTCTTTCTTGCTCATCAGACGATGAGACGAGAGAGTGATGGACTCTCTCGTCTCATTTAAAACGGTAAATTATTGGTCTTTACAAGACTTGGATACGTGACAGCAGGCATGGAAGTGCAGGGTGAGAGTCACCCCGCCCAATCCGCTTTCCAACTTAGGCACGGCAGACAGAGTTCCCTTCTCAGGAAGCCTACAGGGCGGAAAGGTGGGTTACCGGATTTCTTGGATACAAAGTTCATCTTGAGGAAAGATGAGAAGGAGAAAACGAAACTTCGACCCCCACAGAACACACTCTGGAACCTTCCAGAAAATCCCAGACACGTCTCTGTAGTATTCGAACCATCCATCTGGTGCCAACACCTGCTATGAATCCATCGGGGCCCACAGACAGTAGGGTAGCTGGTATTTCCATGCCTGCATAGCTGTCTTTTTAAGACCTATCTTGTCTACATTTGATAATAAAACGATATTTTCCAAATAACCGGAGCGTGATGGCCACGGCACTTTCGAGAGTAGATGAGGTTCAGAGGAACTTGGGTTTACCTCAGAGTGGTGGAGAAAGCTGCTCTCACCCACCCCGTTTAATTTAGTCTATGCTGCACGATTGTGTCTTCGATAAGGTGACACATGATCTCGTTGTGGGGTGGGATGAGGAGAGAGAGAGAGACACACACACAGAGTGAGGAGGAGACAGAGGGAACGTGAGAAATCCCCCGATGGCGGATGGTCGTGCCACAATCCCTTTCCCTCCATTTCTCCTTTTGGCATTTTGGGCACGCACGCACACCCACGCCCAGTGTGTTTTCCAAGCTGCTGGGTCTGAGATTTGAACTCTGTCGCCAGCCATGTGGGATCCTGCACCCTCAACCACTATGCCACCTGCTAGCATTCTCCACCATTTTATTTATTTATTTATTTTTGAAATTTTTGCTACAGGACAAGTGCACACGCCAGAGAGAGACAAAGAGACAGAGAATGAGAACTCACCCCCCTGCAGGGGGGGATGGCGACCCTGAAATCCCTTCTCTTCCATTCTCCTCTTGGGATTTTGGGCATGCACACACACACACACCCAGTGTCCATTTCAAACTGCCGGATCTGGGACTCGAACTGCGTACAGCCACTTGGGAGTCCAGGTTTGCAACCCTGATGCCACCTGCTGGACCCTCCCTAGATTTTTTAAAAATTTATTTGACTTTATTTGTTATTATTATTTATATTTGTTTTAATTGCACCAGAGATAGAGAGAGAAAAGGAAAGTGAGAAAGCAAGCCACCAGGTCCAAGACTTGAACCATGGCCAGCCATGTGAGAGTGCAGTGTCACAACCACCACGCCACCTGCCGGCCCGCTCTACAAATTTTTTAATGGACAAAGAAACAGAGACAACAGTAGTGGCAACAGGGACCTATTTTGGGGGCTGGATAGTGGGGCAGTGGTAAAACATGATGGTCTATGAGGCTGACCAGACATGAAAGGGTTTTGGGTTTGTGTCCAGAGACCTCCATGAAGTCACTTGGCATGGGTGTGTCTATGGATTGGCTGAGGCGGGGGGTGGAGTATGATGTCAATACCCCATGGAGGTTCTCGCTCTCTCTCTTTCTTGTCTTGTTCATGGAGGAAATAAATAAACTTTTTTTTTTTTTTTTGGAGAGATTTTCACTGTAGGACGCGTGCACTCGCCAGAGAGACAGAGAGAGACATAGAGACAGAAAGGTTTAAGCCACCGGGTCCGGGACTCGAACCACAGTTGACTACATGGGAGTCCAATGATATAGCCGTTATGCCAACTGCTGGTCCCAATAAGTAAAGTTTTAAAAAAGTGAGCTATTTGACAGACACGTAGGCAGGGTCTAACCCTCCGCCCACGTGCTGACAACTCCACTGTAAAGAGACACAGATTCACCAATGAGAGGAAATCCTGCAGGAATCAGCGTTATTATTATTATTGGCAGGGAGACACTGGCATTCCTCAGATACACAAAGCCTCCTTTCTTCTGCTGCCCAGGAGGAAGAAAACAAAATCAGCCAAAGGATTTGGGAAGCCTACGACTGGCCTGGTCGAGTTTCAGAAAAGCTCTCTGGCAAGGTCTCACGCCCTCTGACCATTTAAAAAACAGCATGGCAGGGACCAGCAGGTGGCGTCATGGCCACATCGCTGGACTCCCACGTAGTCGACTGCAGTTCAAGTCTTGGACCCGGTGGCTTAGAACTCAAGCCGGGCGCGTGTGCATGCATGCCCAAGATCCTGAGAGGAGAATGGAGGAGAAGGGATTGCAGCGTGGCCATCCTCCCTGGGGGGGGTGATTTCTCACTTTCTGTCTCTCTGTCTCTCTCTGGCAAGCGCACACATACCCTATAGCAAAAAAAGAAAAAAAAAGGAAAAGAAAAAAGAAACCTCTCCCCCCAAAAAGAACATGGCAGAATATCGTAGCTGATTCACATGACCTGCAAAACCTGCGTGTCTACCGAGAGCTTCATGAGGTGATCTGGACTCACCATGGGGTTACGTCAGATAAAAGCATTTTAAGTGGAAGACATGACAAATTGAAAATGCATGTCACACACTTAACCTGCTCGCTGAGCCTGGATAATGGGCATACATCCACAACACCTCCATGAGCCTGCAGTTGGGCAAAAGCATCTAACACACACTGTATGTCCCCCCTAGGAGTTTTGCTAGAGGGTGCATGTGCTTGTGGGGGAGAGAGAGAGACAGAGAGACAGAAAGTAAGAAATGACCTTCCATAAGGGATGGCCTTGCCACCATCCCTTCTCCTCCATTCTCTCCCCGGGATTTTGGGCATGCACGCACACACGCCTGGTGTGATTTTGAAGACACTGGGGC